TTATTAAAATCTTTTCATTATTATGCCAAGGATATGGGCAGGAAGGGGAGATTGCAACATGTGCTCAGTGTGCCATCTTATAGTGGAAATGCCAAAGAACTATTACAGAATGTCATAACAGAGCTTGGCAGAAGACTAGGGAAATCACCCACCCTTTCCTCATCCTTCCGAACTCCTTCACACTTAGAGTTGGCTGATGGCCATATCACACTGGGGGTGCAAAGTAGCCAAGAGAGCAGACAAATAGGGCTTTATGAGCTGCAAGAAAGAAAAAAACGAGGGTGGAGAAGACAGACTTGTTCTCAGTGGATGGGGGCAGAGGGAGTAGGCAGTACCACCTCCCTTTACCCTCATAATAATCCAGAGTTGATCTTTTCCCCCAGTCACTTATTCTTTCCTTCACATACCTAATAGATATTTACTTGCCACTTTCTATATCCTGGGCCCTGTGCTGGGGTAGTGAAGGCACAAAAATAAGAAATACATACTCTCTGCCCTCAAGGAGTTTACCATTTTTACATGGAGAAGAGACACTAATAGAAGATTTCAGTGTAGCATGGATATAACAAAACTGGTCCTTGCTGTACAAGGCATAGCAGGATCTCCAAAGAGGAACTGATGGATTCGACCTGCAGGGGCTGAGAACAGGGGTGATAGAAGAATTCAATCTGATCTTAAAAGAATGGGTAGGAACTTATTACCAAGGCAAGAAGTGAGAGGGAGAAAAAATAGAAGAGAAAGAGAAATGGTACTTTGGGAGACAATGGAGAGTGAAAGGCTGCATACATAGGTCGGGTCAAATTTTGCCTTTCTAAAGATTCTGTTCTTTATTTTGTGGACAGTGAAAGGTTTCAAGCAGGACAAGCATGATCTCATTTGTTTTTTGTAAAAGTCTGGTGGATTATAGATATGAGAAACTGCAGATTGAGATTGTGTTCTCTAGTAGAAAAGGTAAGGATCTTACCAAGACAGTGACCATGAGGTAGGGGACGTGTTGAAGAGTTGGTTACTAGTTGGTTGTGTTGTTACAGGAATATGGTAGAACTGAATTTTGTTTATAAAAAAGCAATGTATGGACAAAGAAGGCACTCTTTTAGGACTCTTTGCTTTTTAGCATTTTTTAAAACATTTAAAACTTTTTTATAAATTTGAAGGAACTTTTTGATCACTCTTGTGAGGACATTCCCCTTAAAAAGAGAAAAACCTAACATTGCATCAATATATTTTGGTGCTCCAAACATGCATTATCATGTGAGATTGCTGTGAATATGATTTACTTTTCTTTTTCTTTCAGTTCATTTCACAACTTCAATTGGCAAAAGTTTTATGTAGGTAAATACAGAATATGTGTTATTAAATAACACTAAAATTAACACGAAAGAAGAAATCTCTAGTTTTTAGTGCTTGACTGCAATTTGTTTTTCAAGAGGTACTAAAAGTTTGAGGAAGGTCCAGACTTTTTATTTTTAGCATCATTTCTGGTGAATTTTCCTCTTTTAGGTTTACATAGCAATGGTAGAACCATCTGGAAATGATAGAAATAGCTGTTTGTTTGGAGGGAGGGAAGAAGGCAGGGAGTTACACCCTATGCATTGCTTCAGTTTCTCTTATTTAATAGCTTGCTGCCTATAAATTATAGAAGTCATATGAAAGGTTATGTTCTGAAATCTTTGCCTGTACATTTGAAATATGAAATTCATGGGCCTTGACTTGAATATAGCTATTTCTTCCAACTACCCTTCTGGAAAATGCTTAAATGTCAAATGTAGCATTGGATGAAGGATTTTTCTTTAATATCATCTTTACATTTCAAATCCTCCTGGCTTAAGAATATCCATGAAAACAGTGTTTCTAGCATCAGTCAATATTTCCTAAGAAAGAATGGAATATTCTTGCATTCTCTTACAATCTGTGAAACCCTTGAACTAAAAAAATATTTTCAGGGCTTTGTCTACCCTCCTATACATGAAATATTTTTGACTCATTGGCAGTGGTCATAGTGTAGAGATAAAAGAAACTAAAGTAGAGAATGAAAAGGCCTGGCCAGCTCTGTGACTTTGACAAGTTCTTTCTAAAAGAACTTGTTTCAAAAACGTAAGGGTTTTGAAAGTATACAGATTGAACTTGATCTCAGATCATCCCACTGAGTCACTCCTAAGATTCTGGTGTGAGATTCTTTACAGAGAGCCTGTTTGGAAAGGGAGCATCTGTCTGATCTGACTGATTAACCATTCTGTCCAGTACAGACTCTGTGTATTTGGGAGGTCAGTTTATTGTGAAGTGCTGAGGGTATTTTCTTTAGGACCGTCATTCACAAGGTAATGGAAGCATCAGGGTTACTTTATGCCCAGATGTCTAAATAATTTTCATAGTTTGCTGATGCTCTGCTGCTACCCATTATGCAAACTGACTAACACACTTAGAGAAGACAACCTTTGGAAAACTGTTAGTCATAAGGCATGCAGGATGCTAGAAATCAGTTAGTTGACCTTCCTTTCTGGGCAGCGCAGTGAATATTTGATTTCCGAAGAGTGATCAGTACTGAGTTGTCAACACCTAACTAAGCCAACAAGCTTCATTGATTGCCAGGAGGAATTTTCTATTTACCTTGTTCTCTATTATGTAGATAGATTTCCTAATCATTCTTATGAAAATCATGGTAGCTCAACTCATATGTACGCTCTGCTACCAGTCTCAGCTGATCCATCTTTTTACAATAGGAACTCATCTTTCACTGTTAGAAAAGCAAGGAATGTAAAGGAGTGAGGCCAAACATGTTCTTTAAAGTTTGTTGACTTTTTTTCTAGGATCCTGTTTAGGCAACTGACTATAAGGACTAACTATTCACATCTCACTCTGAAAGTGCATGAGATCATGGTTTGGGTTTAGAAATACCATCTTTAATGTCAAAAGGGAAATGGTTGCTCTTTTATCTGAGTCACTGATAGACACTTCAGAAACTACATTTGTAAACATGTATGTGCAGAAGCTTATTCTGCTCCAACATTAGTTATATATCCAACTTGCAGTCACGTGTAGAGATGGATGTTCTTGCCTGCTAGCACTCTAAAATGGATGCTGGTCAGTACTGGAGAGGACAGGGAAAGGCTTCCAGTCTAGGCCTCCATCGTCACCCTCTCATTTTATACCTATTCTTGGTTGTGACCCATGTTGGGGAAGTGGCTTGTGATTACATGGAGCTCATTAGTGGCACAACTAAGTCTAGACTGTCTCAAGAAATGACTTTGAAAATGGATTGAACAAGATGACAAAGGGGATTTGCATATCACCGTCTGGTACTTCACCCTCTCCTTAGCACTGTAGAACTACTAAGCTTTATCAGAGGCTCTGGTTGTCTTTCCAGGCATCCTAATTTCATCTCCAGCAAGAACAGGGAGTTAGGGGATGGTGGGGTGGTGGGGTGACAGAGGCAGAGCTAGGACCATCATACCACTGAGATGCTCAGGAGCCCTGAGGATGTGACTGTGAATGTCCCTGGCCAGGAATTTCCACTCCAGGAATAGTCCCTGTGGCCTAGGAGGGAACCAGTGGTCACTGTGTGTTGCTAAAAGGAGAGTAGGAACAGAGGGGTCTGAGGCTCTGGAAGCTTTGCCTTGTGGCCTGGCACCGAAGGAGTCTTCCTGGCTCATTATGTGGAGTCACAAGACCTGCAAGGTATAATTTTACAAAAGTGTGTTCTCTTCTGTCCTATATGAGCTCACACGAATGTTTCTCATTGTCTATGGAGCAACTCTGGATGGACAGCCCTGATTCTGATTTAGGGGCTACCCCAGTAATAGCCCATCTCTGTCATTTCTAGCCCCCTTGGAATATGACAACAGCAGCTGCAAACCCACTTGTAAGAGTGGTTTTTAAATGTTTTGAAGATACTGGAAAACCCTGGGAAGTATTTGGAATAAGGCATAATTATAACTATGCCACAGGAAAAAAAAGAGTGTTTTGGATCCTGCCTAACCCCTCATTAAAAAAAATAAATCTTAGTATGTCACCAGGAGCTTCCTAATAGCCAAAGAAACTGTGGTTTTGAGCTATTCACCGTTTCAAGAAACTCCATAAAGTTAATTCCAAAGTAACAGGGTGGAGACCAAAAAAGGAAGAACACTATTTTATGGTGCTTTTAGCAAAGGTGAAGTATTTGCCTCGGGCTTAGCTAGTCCAGCTCTGCAGCCGGAGTGAGGCGCCCAGCTCCTGGGGGCTGGTAGAGGGGGTGATTGCTTCAGGGGCTGCGACACACAATTCGTTTCCCATCCCAGCTGTGTCTCCTTTCTCCTCTCTCATCTAAGCTGACAGCTATTCCTTGAGCTCTTAGTATACATGCATACCACCATGTTAAATACTGCCCTCCCCTTTCCAACTCATTTTCTCTGTAACTCAGCCTTCGTATTCACAGCCTTCTGAATTAACTTAAATCTCATTTAGTGGCCTGCACTTTCAATTTGCAGTTCCTTTTATCATTTAGATCTTTTCCTTTTTACTTAAGAAAACATTCTTTTTGTTAATTTGTTAAAACTTAGGATCCTAATGTTGGTTTCTAGGTTGAAAAACCAACTAACTCAGCAGCAGCATGGAGCCCTCCTCCCATTCTGTACGCCGAGGACAGGAAAGCAGTTACACCAGTAATCCAAAATGAATTGATATTCAATTTGGGCATTATTATATACCATTTTCCTGCAGCTTAACTACCCCTTAATGACATTATTAAAGATTAGCATATACTACCTCCCAACAGGTGAGGGATAACCAGAAGAACTTTGGGATAGAGAAAATCCATCATGAGAATAAATCAGATGCCTGGATTTTGGTCTTACAACTGCTACTAACTAGTGTGTGGCCTCTCTTGTGTAGCCAGCCACACCTTCCTACCTTCCTGGGTAATCTTTAAAGACTTCAGCAGTTATGACCCCTGTGGATCTTTGCATAATTACTTATGGATATTTGAAACTTGTGCCAAGCAATGATATGTTCTCTTTTCCCTACAGAGTGAAGGCTGCCCAGACTGAGTTAGGACAGCAAATCCTGGCTGATTTTGAGGAAGCATTTCCTTCCCAGGGTACCAAGGTACTGTTTTACATTTTCCCTCCAGTCTCGATATTATCACCATTTTTGCCTAATTCACACTCACTACAGTTAGTTTACCATTCCAAGAGTGTTTTCTGGCAGCCAGAAGGCTGTTTGCTAAAGGTCCAGCGTAATGAGACCATTCTTAAATATCCCAAAGCAATGTTGCTTCCTCATCTGTGTCCTTCCAGCACCAAAAACTGAGGATTTGTTTTGGTTTAATTTAATGTGTGTCAAACCTAGTATCACGTCTGTCCAGTAAATTCCTTTTTTCTTATGGCTCTCTTTAAAAAAAAATCTCCAAGCTGCAGTGTTTTTTTGGGATTGTTATATAACTTATTGGTTTCAGTTTGATAAAAGACAACTGGGAGGGGCATCCACAGGCTTATGTAACTCTCTGAGTGACACAGTTAGGAGACCCCCTTCTAAGGATGAGAATCCTGACCTTTGGAATCATTCCCATTAGCTCTCACTGGTCCTATAGCTGTTTGTGTTGTGTCTGGGAAGTTCACAGTGTTTCACTTACGAGTTATTGTCACACTTATGTAACCAGCATTGCTCGGTTGGCTGTCAGTGTGTTTGGGTAGTGCTTTTAGCTCTGTCCTCCAAATTGCAGCAGACATAATCTAAATGCTTTGCATATGTTGGGGAGGGAAGAACGCTCAGAAGTTTTTCCCCCCACTCCATTTTGAGCTATTTCAAGAAAAATAATCGTTCAACACAGAAATGAACCAAAGCACGCACGGGCAAGCAGCCTTCCTCACTGTACTTGGTGGGTGGAGATTAGGGATATATGTTCAATTCCTGAGCCCAGGAATGTTTCCTGGATCTGCTCTGTAATTCAATAACTGGAAATCTCTTAATCATTTTCCTTTGTGCTCCATAAAAGAAATTTAGAAAGTAGGGGGGTGTAGCTGCCCCAGCTTTGCAGATTACTTTCTGTAGGAAGCCTGCTCCTGATGTTAATGTCTGCATCTATTATGGCCATCTTCTAGTAATCAGATATCTTATTTGTAAAGCTGTTCCTCTGAGGACTTTGTATTCCTTATTCATTTGATGTAACTGTGGGGAGGTGGATATTGGAAAGCGATTCTGTAAAAGGGATTGTAAGATAGTCACAAATTATAAGCACTAGACTCTTCATAGTCCAGCATCTGCTTTACTATACTCTGCTATCCATCTAAGCTTCAAAAAAGCTTAGATGTTTCAGAAAGATGTGCTCTATGCTTTATTATTTAGGAGAAGCTAACCATGACCTTTTTTTCAGATTCCACCAGATAAATGAAGTTAAAATGGTTTTCTTTAACAAGTTGCTTCCCTTTTCTCTAGCTGGGTGACCTAATATTTTTTAAGAGTTTTCTTTTTTCCTTTTTAATGACTGTTGGCTTTTCCTAAATGCCTTGTGTTACTAGTTACTATTCCTATTTCACAAATGGAAATCAACATATTTTTTTAAGTTATCCAAGGTAACCTATTACATCCTTTTTAAATGAAAAAAAATAGGAACCTGTGCATTCATAGGTTTTGGCTTTGGTGACTTCTCTGTCAGATCAAGCACTTTCATCCAGAAGCAAAAGTTGAGCAGCTCAGCATTGACGTAACAGCTACTCAGCATGGAGCAAGTCAGCATTCTAATATGGCTTTCAGACAACTTAGGTAACACGAAACCTTTAAACTTCAGTTGAGATGGATAAATTGGACAGAACTGACCCCTATAAAATCATAAAGATTTGAAGAACCTTAATCATCACCAAGTTACAGTCCTTTTTTCTTTTCCCTTTATTTTTCAAATGAGTTTTAGTAATTGCACCAGGGCTGTGTGGCTATTTAGCCAAGCCAAGAGTAGGTTCCAAGTGTTACGTTTTTTTTTGCTATGGTCAACACAGCCAACTGTGTTCATCCAGTGAGTTATAAAGAAAGGGTCAGCAAGACTGAATTGCCTTCAGTAATAACAAAGGCCTCCATATTGTGATTTATCAGTATAGTCCCTTGATGTCCTTCTGTTGTTCTTTTCAGGTCAGGGGCCAATATTGTAATATTTTATTTACCTTTGGCCCCCTGTCTGAGTGTCTGACCATCAGTGAAACAGAGTTGGTGGTTTGGAACCTGGTTTTAGGTTTAAAATGCCACTGCTCCACTGTTTGGCACAAATGTAGCATCTTAAGAACAAGAATTTGAGGTTGGAATTGGGAAAGTGCACTTGTGGCATGAGACTGGTGTCATTGTGAATTTCAGGTCTTTTCAACAAGGTGATTTCAGTGTTGGTGTGCAGAAAGCAAATTTTCCTGCAATCACTGCTGGCCCTGTTTACAAACTGTCTCATTGCTGATTCACAGAGTAGCTTTTTTATTGACTACTGCTGACTAGCTTAGTGATTCTTTCACTGAGGAGCAAGTAACTGAAATATCCATCCACAGCCGAAGAATGAGTGTCAGGGGAGTGGGAGTAATAATAACTTCAAGAGAAAACCAAGAAGTAGCAGCTGTCAGAGGCCATGAGACTTAAAAGTTGTTTCTGGCTTTTGAAGTGGTGCATGTTGTTTGTTTTACCAGAGGCCAGGAGGACCCAGCAATGTCCTACGAGATGCATGTCTGGTTGCTAATATTTTGGACTCCAGAATCAAACAGGAAATCATCAAAAAGTTTATTAAACAGCATCTGTCAGAGTATCTAGTACTTTTTCAAGAAAACCAAGATGTAAGTATTAACCAAATGAGATCACAGGTTATATTTGAAATTTATTGAAAATTGAAGGCTCTCAAGTCTACTGATTCATACTTTTTAATATTATTGTCTTAAAATGTTGATTGTTAAACCTAGGGGCTGGCTGTGTAGTTCAGTGGTTCTTAACCATTGTGGGGGTCATTGACCCTTTGGAGAAATTAATGAGGGCTACAGATCTTCTCCCCCGAAAAATGAGCCTAGGTATAAAACTTTGCATACAGTTTCAGGAAATTTATAAACCTCTGAGGCCCAATCATAGATCCCCAAGATTAAGAACCATCTGGATCAAGGGAAAAAGTAGCCTAGATTCTTTGAAACCATGAGACATAAATTGGTCGTGTTTTTCTTGGTTCTGTGTTTTTGCTTATTTCCTTGAACTGTCAACACTACTTATAAGCACTGAGGTAGATTTTGCTCCTGCCTTCCTAAGGTTGCCTGGCTGGACAAAATCGACAGACGCTATGCTTGGATAAAACGCCAGCTTGTGGACTATGAGGAGAAATATGGCCGTATGTTTCCACGTGAATGGTACATGACCGAGAGGGTTGCAGTAGAGTTTTGCCACATCACAAGGTAGATTCCAACTCCATGCTGGTTTTGGTGTTAATTGAAATCAATCCCCTGGTCACTAGGGGTTCCATGTTGTCTTGTGGATTGTGTACCACTTCCACTTTTCTTTGAAAGTCACCATTTAATGAGAACTTCTTTACCTGTGCTGCACTCCTTTCCCCCCACCCCCTTTCAAGTTGAAAGTCAGATTTCCCCAAACCAACTCCCAAACTCCAGTTGTAGCTATATTCCACCTTCTCCAACTTCAGAGTTCCAGCCCTAGAGGAAAGAGCATTCTGTGTAGGGCTTTCAAAGACTTGATAGGAAAAAAGTGAAAAAAGGTACCCGAGAGCCCTGGGCCAGTAGCCTGTAGCCAGAGCAGTTTTATTTGTGGCCTTCAGAGTAATATATATACAATACAGCAGCTAAGTCTGCTGCTGGCTTGGCTTATCAACCACATCTCCCTATGGTAATTCATCACCCTATATTTCCCCCTATGTTTGTATCACATATATCAGTGTGCAGTATATATGTATCCATCACCATTTGCTTTTCTGACTTGCTAGATAGATAGTTCCATAGGGACATGGGTAATATCTATTTCAGTGACATAGTGGATACTCAGGAAGTATTTGTTGAACAAATTTACCACCCCTAATACAGTGTTCATCGTCTTCGGATAGTTAATAATACTTGTAGCTGAGTGTTCTAAGCATTTGAAAGACCTCTCATTCATCCTGTCTTCAGTTTCCATGGGGGTAGCCCAGGGCCAGATAGTCCCTTTATGTGGAAGAAATAAAGCCCTAGAAAGTTAAATCAGTGTATCCAAAACTGAAAGCTAAAACTAGAGTCAACAGTTTTATTCTTTACTTGCAACTGTATCACAACAGTGGTAGTAACTGTGTTTTAATAGTTATATGTCCCCTTCTAATTAACTCCAGGCTAATTTTTTTTAAGTCCCATATCTAAGCATGACTCAACCGTCTTAGAATAATTCATGGTAGTCATCTTCCTTAAAATGATAGAGAGTACAGTCCAGTTGTATGCTTTGAGCGTACTGCGGGGGGTGGAATTTCTTAAGGGATATTGGCTGTTGGGTTTTTTTGGGTTTTTTTTATAGAGTTTATTTTTTAAAGCAGTTTTAGGTTCACAGCAGAATTGAGAAGCTAACAGAGATTTCCCATGTACCCCTGCCCCACACGTGCATAGCCTCCCCCATTACCAACATTACCTTTGTTACAGTCAGTGATTGTATTATTATCACTTTAGATAATATCACCCAGAGCCCGTAGTTCACAGTAAGGTTCACTTTTGGTGTTGTGCAGTCTATGTGACTGTTGTTTTCAGAAACACATTTGCTATCATGGATTTAGATAACCTTTTAGTATTGATTCAAGGTCAGTTGTGGTTGTCACTTTCTAAGGTCTGATAATCAGCAAAGAAAGATTGAACTCCTTAGCTCCTCTCTCTGAGGTCACCCACACTTTCTAAGTGCGTAACCTTTTAATCTTAAACTTTCTCTCTCCAACCTTTCAGGGTGCCTCTCCTTGCTGAGGCTGCCTGCTGCACTTCTCTCTTTAAGTAACTAAATAAAACTTTCACTCTGCTTCAAAAGAAAAAAAGATTGAATTCCTTGAGAACTGATAACATTCTCTTTAGCCTACAGTTCAGTGACTTGCAAACTAACTGTGAAAAATGAAGTCTGCAAGAGACTGGGAGTACACTAAAGCCAGCAAATCTGCTGTTGTGTCAGCTAATGGCAGAGTTGCTGCCAAGCTCTCATTGTTCGAATTCTGGCTAAAATCCTACAGATACATAATTCTCAAGTAAACTCAGAGATTGTTTGTTTGATTTTCTCATTTATTTGTATGGGAAGATGATTGTAGCTCAGTACTTACCAAGAACTCCCATGTCACTGCCCCTTACAGTCTCACGTCACTGCTCTTTACAGTTCTGAAATAGAGTGCACGAGTGGCACATAAGCCTCTCAGGCAGGAACCATCTGAACACGTACACATCACTTTTCACGTGGGATTCTGGTTTCTCACATGTATTCACACATGGCTCCTGCTTTCTGGGAACAATGGGTATTGGGCTCTCTGAAGAAGGAAGGCTTTGTAATTCAGTCATTACTGACTTGTGAAATTATATAAGACAAGTGCCTTTTTATAAAATACTAAGTAAGTACTTCATATATATATTAACAAATTATTGAAAGGTTTAAAGATATAAAAACAGTAGTAGATAGTAAAAAGAGGAGCCAAGATGGTGACATGAGTAGAGCAGCGGAAATCTCCTCCCAAAACCATCTATATTTTTGAAAATACAACAAATACAACTATTCCTAAAAGAGACACCAGAAGATACAGGACAACAACTAGGCTACATCTACACCTGGGAGAACCCAGCACCTCATGAAGGGGGTAACATACAAACCGCGGCCCAGGTCGCACCCCTCATGCCAGCTCCCAGCGGAAGGAGAGGAGTCAGAGTGGGGAGGGAGAGGGAGCCCAGGACTGCTAAACACCCAGCCCTAGTCATTGGCACCAGGAGCGCAGACACACAGTGCGTGGAGTGCTGGATACTAGAGAAACAGGACAGTAAGACCTGTGAGCAGTTCCCCGCAGCCAGCGCCCCTGGGACAAAGAAAAGCGAGTGCTTTTTGAAAGACTTAAAGGGACAGGGACCCCACAGCTGGATGAAAGTGTCCCGGGACACTCAGCCCAGGAGCTGGGAATCCCGGGAACTCCAGGTGCCCTAACGCCCTGGGCGGCAGCGCAGTTCGGAGGCCCCTCACAGTGATAAACAGCCTCCCACCTGTTCCCCCTCCGACGCAGCTTTGCCATAGCGGAGCAGCAGCCTAAGGCCGGCCACACCCACAGCAGCAGGGCAGAGCTTCTTTCACAGCAGCTGGGCAAGAATCAGAGACCCCGTCTGCACGCAGCAGCCGAGCACAGGCTACTAGGGGTCACTGTTCTCCCAAGAGAGGAAGGCCACAGACTGGCAAGAAGGGATGTTCTCCCAGCTGACACATGCACCAACTCCCCACAACTACCTCTATTGCCATGAAAAGGCAAAAGAATTTGCTCCAGACCAAAATCACAGAGACAACCTCTGAGAAGGAGCTTCGAGAGATAGACCTAACCAATCTTCCTGAAAAAGAATTCAAAATAAAGGTCATAACCATGCAGATGGAGCTGCAGAGAAAAATGCAAGAGCTAATGGACAAAGTAGGGAGGGACACTACAGAAATAAAACAATCTCTGGAAAGATTTAAAAGCAGAATGGATGAGATGCAAGAGGCCATTGATGGAATAGAAACCAGAGAACAGGAACGCATAGAAGCTGACGCAGAGAGAGATAAAGGATCTCCAGAAATGAAACAATATTAAGAGAACTGTGTGACCAATCCAAAAGGAAGAATATCCGCATTATAGGGGTTCCAGAAGAAGAAGAGAGAGAGAAAGGGATAGAAAGTGTCTTTGAAGAAATAATTGCTGAGAACTTCCCCAAACTGGGGGAGGAAATAATCGATCAGACCATGGAAGTGTACAGAACTCCCAACAGAAAGGACCCAAGGAGGACAACACCAAGACACATAATAATTAAAATGTCAAAGGTCAAGGACAAGGGCAGAGTTTTAAAGGCAGCTAGAGAGAGGTAAAAGGTCACCTACAAAGGAAAACCCATCAGGCTATCATCAGACTTAACAACATGCTCCTAAATAATCAATGGATCAATGACCAAATTAAAGATCAAGCAAAATGTGGAAACAAATGACAACACCACCACCAAAGCCCCAACTTCTGTGGGTCGCAGCGAAGCAGTCTTAAGAGGAACGTATATAGCAATCCAGACATATTTAAAGAAGGAAGAACAATCCCAAATGAATAGTCTAACATCACAATTATTGAAATTGGAAAAAGAAGAACAAATGAGGCCTAAAGTCAGCAGAAGGAGGGACATAATAAAGATGAGAGAAGAAATAAATAAAAATTGAGAA